AAAAAAAACACCCCCCCCCCCCGCCCCAAACAAAAAAAAGAAAAGAAAAGAAAAGAAGAAAGAAGTTGATAGTAGTTATGTGAAATTTACCCCAATTATATTCATATGTCACAGGCAATAACATCATGATTTTCGTATTCATGCTTGGATCATAAGGCATCATCAATATCAGATCGAACATTACACCACGAAATAATTTCATCATTTGATTTGGATATGAATGTGAAGGGTGGATCTTAAAATCAAATTGGGTTATCTGGATGCTAAACAAAGTGGAAAAAATCACAGGACTCACTTTGTTAAAGGATTTTTTTAATGATACATAGCCTCAAGCTTTCATATTTCAAAATGTCACCAAATCATCATAGTTATAAATTGATCTCCCTTAAAGTCATAATTTTTATACAATTCTAATCTTTGTGTTTTTTGAAAGGAACTATGTTGGCTTACTATGTCTTTATTATTTGAATACTTTCTTCTCTAAACTGGATTTTTTAGCAAAAGTTGCATGCATGTTCATCAAAAATACTATCACTCAAGTTATTATTTGAAGAAAAAAAATCAAAAGTCCTCACCTAACATATAGAAAAACAGATCATGAAAATCAAGATTATCAGGATAGATTTTAAATTTGGAGAGTTCATCAAATTTGAATGAATAGTCTGGCTAGAAACCCCTTTCTCTCTCTAGAACCCATTGTCCTTTTTTGCATCTCAAGCAAAAGATCTCTATGCTAAAGGCCTTTCCAAATGGCCTGGAGACCAACATGAGAAAGATATTAATTGTAATATTGTGTTTTCTGTTCACAACTTTGTTGCTTTACTAACTCCAACATTTACTTTTGAGATATTATTGCTTTAACAATTCCTGCCCATACTTAGGAAACATTAGAAGGGAGAAAGATCTATTATTAGGAGGTAGTGAGCAGAATTTAATAGAAGTGCAGCCTACTTCATTTAATGAATTCATCTACTAAAATATACGGACTGGATATCTCAGACCCGGATGCATGCCTACAATGTTCAAAAACACATTTTTATCATGCGTGCAATCTAGGAGCGCTTAATGATTAATCGGATTAGTCATCAATTAATCAGATGATGAGTTTTTCAATTTCAATATATATTTATTATTTATCATATGCTAATAAAACAAAATTCATGTAAAATAATTTATACTTAAAAGCTTCGACTTATCTGTTATGCCGGAGGGCCTGGAGGGGATCGTCGAAGAGCTTTGAGGGGATCATCAGAGAGCTTCGAGGGGATTGTCGGAGAGCTTTAAGAGAGAGTATCAGAGGTCGTACGATCTCTAGTGAGTTTCCACAAATGGTGTAAGTTGAGGGAGAGGGAGGGGGGAGGGGGGGAGAACATCGGAAAAACTTTAGAGGTTAGCTTTTTTTCACTTTAGTAATTGGGTCGAGTTTGGGATAAATGTGTATAACCTGCAGAGAATTTAAAAGAAAAGCGCCCTCCATAAAAAATTATGTGGGCACTTACTGAAAATAAGCCCAATTATGCAAATGACCGCATAATGGAGCGTTTTTCCCTAATCATAGCAGTTCCAACCCACTTACGCATAAGTGGTCAGAGGCTATAAGCCTGGAAGGTTCATTGTGCAGCTTACACAGCACTTACTGACTGAGTAGCCATTCAAAACTCAAGTGGCATCAGAAATGATATAAAAAAACATATAAAAAGCTTCTTTGAGAATCATCCTTTCACACTAAAAGCCCTTGATTCTTAGTTTATGCAATTTAGTGTCCAACATTACAGGAAGAGCATTCATGGAGGCAAGAACCCGAGGAACACAAGGTTTTGTTAAGAGTTGACATCCTTTTGTAATATGTCTAGCCGTTTCATAGCAGATTAAAAGTATAGTCTATAGACTATAGAGAATATTTGCAATGTCAATAAACAAAATGAAAACAGAAAACTCTTCCTTCTTTTAGTAGACAAAGGTGATGTAACTTTTTTGTTTTGTTGTTTTTTGTTTTTTGTTTTTTTTTTTCTTTTTTTTTTTTTTTTTTCTAAAGTTAGCAGACATCCATATACATGATAATCTGCATCAAATTATATGATGGTTTGCTAAACATTGTGCGCAGGAAAACAATATATGTTTAAACATAAAAACATGTGCATGAACTCCATTGCTCGAGAGATAAAAAGAACTAAACATGCCCAAAGTGAACGAATGCTTCTATCATGTTTAGAAAAAAAATTATCAGTAAGATAGAGATGAAACTAAAAGAAGGAACCTACCCGATTCAGACACATTTTGTGCTGATTCAGTATATTCTTCCCTTATCTCCATGATATCTTCCTGTTTAACCAGATATGATTCAGTTTTAAGCTATCAAAGAACACACTGAGTACATGCATCCACACATACAAACACAAGCATGAGCATCACAAGCCCACGCATTCATGCATCGCACCCTCTCAAATTCGCACACAAGAAATAGAAATTGGAAATTAGAAAATTAAAACCTGAGGATCTTGAGGTTCTTCAGTGTATTCCTCCCTTATTTCCACAATACCTTCCTGTTCAAGAAGAATTAAATGAATTTATAGACTGCCAAATCAGGACATCTTCTTTAACAAATACAGCAAATATGTGGACGTTTATTCCAATTCTCTAATTTTTCAAGAAAATGTGGTCAATTTTTTTCTTGAACTCTTTCTTTTTCATTTTCCACTGTGATCAATAAATGCACATGATCAATAAAACTTATTGCTTAAGATGAAAAATGAAGCACATTTCACATGATACAAAATTAAAACATAATAATAATCTAACAACAACACATGTTAAGTATTATCACACAAAAAATTAAAATCAATTTCAAATTTTGGACACCCAATTGCAAAGCATTATAAGTAGAAGAAACCACAATCAGTTGATGGTGATTTAGGAATGAAAACAAATTTAAGTGGGAGGCCATAAACCAAGATGAGATACATCTCGAAGCTTAACAATTTCCATAGTGATGGAAGCAAAAAAATTTACTCCACTACAACCTAGAAGATCCTATAAGAGAAAGTTAAAAACAAACAGATACAATGTAAATTTGTTAAAATACTATTGGACTTTAAGGTAAGAATAGTTCCAGGTTCCAAGTTAGCTCCAACTATGCAGCTAAAATGGTAGCTTCCCTCTATTAGAAAGTTAAAACAAATCAATACAATGTAAATTTGTTAAAACACACATGGAATATGAGATAAGAATATTTCCAGGTATAACTATTATGTTCAATCCTGTAGTCCAACAGAAAAGGGAAAATAAGAGGTTAATTTTCCTGTTTCTCCTATAGTAAATAATGTAAATTTAAGCAATATCAAGAGGTGAACCTACAATGTGAGCAGGGTTAAGAAGACGTTACCATGACCTAGATAAATAATTATAAAAACCTGTGCTAATTATTTTCCAAGTAATTTAACCAAAGGAAAGTTGACACACTGCTACTGAGAAAATAGCCTTTTTTCATGCTAACAAATTTATTGTTTCTACTAAAAAGAGCTCTACTATCCTTCATATCATTGAGCAGAACTAGATCCAGATATCTGAGAAAAGACATGAGACTTTT